CGACGATATACTCGCGGGACCAAGTCATCGAAAAAGTTTGCCTTCTTGCACAACCATCATACCGGCTAATCCTCTGACTCTTCTCTCTTTCTCTCTCTCTCTCCCCCTAATCTCTCTTTCCCTTTCTCTCTCTCTCTCTCTCTCTTTGTCTTACTCACTACACCTGGCTGACCGTGCAACATCGTTTTTCCTCGCGGATCTTTCCCCGTTCTTCTTTTCCTAGCCTCCTCGTCTCCTCCTCCTCCTCCTCCCTCTTCCCTCCGTCGTTCTCTGCTGCCCCTCATACGCTCTATATTTCTCCTTCGTCCCGGGTACCCCTCGGCTCGCCATCGACATGCCGCGGTCGAGCTTCCACTCGGCCGAGCGTGATCGAGATTGATCGGCTTGACACAAAAGAGAGCGGCAGCGGACGACACTCGGCCCAGTCCAATAGCAAAAGGGTTAATTATAAAGAGCGAGGCACCAAAATCCGATATCGCGGAGCCACTCACCGGCGGCGAGTATATTGTTGTTGTTATTGCAGCAACCCCTCTCGCATTAATATCGAGCAGCGCGGCGAATCCCACTTCTCTAGCGACGTTCCTTCTTAACCCGTAAGTGGGCGCGTGACTTTTTTTTTTACAAAACAACCGCTGTTTTATAGAGTGAGATTCTCGAGTGTTATCGACGCTATTTCGTTAAATGCAAAAGTAAGTGACGGAAGTAAGTTACTGAAAGTGCCAATGTCGCAGGCAGAAACGAAACAGAGAAACGTTCGTTTCATGCGTCCGTGGGTCGGTTTGACTCCCACGCGTCCATTTACGGATTAAAACGCGCGTGAAAAACACGCGTATGATTTTTCAGAAATAAATCAAAGAGAGAGAGAGAGAGAGAGAGACGGATATTTATATATATCTCTCTCTCTTTCTCTCTGATTTTCTAATCGTTCGAATTCTCAAGTCGCTTCCCGACGAATTCCGGTTGCGCTTCTCGAGATAACGCCATTCGGAAAATAAACACGCGCGTGTGTATGTTGATTGACCGCCCACCCGCGATATTTTTACCATGCCGAAGTATTCCGGCTCCCGCGGAAAGGTCGGAAAACATTCGTCCGCGTAAGAACCCGATGACGTCTCCGGGGGACGTTTCCGAAGATGTCGAAAGTATCGATCGAGGAGCGCCGGCGGGACTCCGGCTGTCCTCGAGATTCGTTTTCGACGCGTTACGATACTCGGATTATCAGAAACTCACGATTAACGAGCACGGGAGCGCGAGCTCTGGCAAGGGGACGGAAGCTTTCCGCTGGAATTATTACGGCGTTAGGAGGGGGCGCGTTTCACGGCGAAATGTATATGCTTTCGGTAGTAGTTTACGCGTCTTTGCGGGGTGGGCTTAATCTCATTATCCCGCAGGGGAACGAAGTGGATCGTAAAGAAGGCGGTGTTTTGCCTGAACGCTTCGTTGCCGGATAAAGCGATGAAATTTTGAACGATTCAAGTGAACGTTGCGATCGTGTGTCGTGCGAGCGTGTGTGCGCGCACACGTGCGTGTGACAGAATAGTCGAATGATAATAGAATCCGCAGCGCCGTATCACTCGCCGGAATAATATTGAATTATAATAACATATCCGCACGGCCGTGCTGCGCAATAAGCATGAGTCATAATTGCAAGTTATAACTAATTATCAACGATACCGTGATAACATCGAATTACGTGTCGCAGTTCAGCCTGTACGTCGGCATTTAATCAACGAAACTCGGTTACGATATTTCATTTCATGCGCTATTTCCGCGAATATGTTACTTTGTTACGCAAGGCGCGCGCACCCACGGCGGAGCCCTGCCGTTTTCGCAAATTGCCGTTTAATAGCCGCGTATTTACCTCCCCGGGAAAGTATGAAGCGCTCCTCGTTGTTCTCCTTCATTATTACTCTTCTTCGCTGTTTTTCTTTTCTCTCTCCCTCTCTGTCTCTCTTTTATCTTCTACGGCAAATATCTTCCGGCGACAATCGACGGATCGAGAATTAGCAGCGAGCTGTACACAGATTACGCGGCGCATTAAACAGCCAAAAGCGCCGCGCCGTTCGATTACATCACGGAAATGTTCCGACGCGGAATTAATTCTGACATGCTCCGGTCGTTAAGAAAAGCTAATTAATGCGCTGGTAGCTCGCGTATGAAAAATCGATCGTCTGCAATGCAAACGGAAGAGATAGTAAGAGAGAGAGTTAGAGAGAGAGAGAGAGAGAGAGAAAGCGAGAAGGGGGATAGAGGGAGAGCAAGAGAACGAGCGGGCGGGCGCGTTTGTGTCGGACGATAATGCGGCAGTCCTGCGTGTTAACTTTGCAAATTGATCAGAAATAATGGGGTGGATCCCGAGGGAAGGGATCGTCTGTCATTTCGGCATATCTTTACGATACCACCGTATCTGACACGTGCCCGCATGCGGCCACGTACGATACGCCGAGAATATCCGTGCGGCGCGTCGCGCATCGTTTTGCGCGCTCTGAAACGTAACTCCTTCAAATTACTTTCAACAGACCGCTCGTAAATCACGACTCGCGTTATAACGCGAGTGCTCGTTTAATACGGCTGTAATACGGACGGTCGAGCGGACAGAGAGCCACGCATACGTCCGAGATTGGAGGGTCCGGGTTTCGCGATTGTGCAATTCGCCCGCCGCATGTCGTTTATTTCGCTCTCGTCTTTTTACGATCGGCAACTTTATCGACAGCGGCATTTGCGAAGATCGGTTAACTCAGGTTCAATTAAAGCGAGAGGGGGAGAGAGAGAGAGAGAGAGAGAGAGTGCCGTTCGCGAGACGCCGGTGCACATCAATAGAGATTACGAAACTAATTGAGCCTTAAGTCACCGCACGCTCGAATGTCCGCCAATTAAAAGTTCCGCCAGTTCGCCGAGTCCGGGTTCTCCGCCGAGAATATTGTTTGTCGATCGTCGTTATTGTCGCCGGAGGTAGCAATCGGAGGTCTTTTTTCGGCGGATGCGATCGGTCGTAAGCCGCTCGTAAAAGTGCGAGAACGCGGCACAGCACGCTGCACGTCGTTGCTTAATAAGACCGGCGATTACGTAAAATTGCGCTCTGGTATCATTGTCGATCACAGAAAACTTTCGACGTGCATAACGCACGCCCATGTTATCGAAGGAAAAAGTCCGCAGAGAGGCACGTAGAATATTTGATCCAAGGTAATAGCTGTAAAGTCGAAACACTCCTAAACGCAGCGCACATCATTCGCGATAGACTGGAAGCTTTCGCTCGACATCGACGATTTAAGCGATTTAGTATAATTCTTACGGGGAGATTTGATAAAATTGACGAAAACGCCTTGTGGAATAGTTTAACTCTTTCGGTCCCATTTTCTGAATTTCCAATGTGTATATTGTTGTTTGGAAGGAAAGTACTCTCTAAAGTGCAATCAGTGTATTATCACTGAGCAGCGGTCGATACTCATTGGTGGTCATAGTTGTAAGTGTAGCATTGCAAATCAGTGAAATTCCACTGAGGAAGTGATTCAATCAGTAATATTTTCATTGATTCGACTTAAGAGAGTAAGTTAATCAATGTTAACATAAAATAAATTTTTGAATCTTTCTGTGCGGGACGCATATAATCCGACGGAATCGAAAGAGTCAAACGAGAATTTCACTTGGGAATAATTGCAAAGGTCGCGAGATTAATATTATCTTTTTAAGAGAAAGAGAGAGAGAGAGAGAGAGAGAGAGAGAGAGAGAGAGAGAGAGAGAGAGAGAGATAGTATCGTCATGAAGTTAAAAGGACGCACGCAACGTTTTGCGATTTTAGATATTCTTGAGAGAAAGTTTCGCGAGAGTTCGTAACTTCTCAAATCAAATAATGAATAAAGCGGCATTGAGAGCTCATTGCAACAGCCCCGAGCGCGAGATCGAAACCTCGTTTTTCATCAATCAATATCAGCAGCCGACAGCGTCAATCGCCGTAAACCAATTGCGAGGACCACGATGGTGTGGCTTTACATTCGATTGATCGGTCCCGCGGCTGCTGCCTCTAATGCCCTAATCTCGGAATCATTAAATTCCCGGGTCATGGCGGTATCTCTCGTTCGAGTGGAAGGAGGAACTCGATGTAGCACATACAAAATTGATTTCACCGCGGAGACTATTGCGCGATATACGGTTGGTACGGTGTCGAGTGTGTCGAGCGAATCATTTCTCGAGAAATCAAGACGGAAAATTGCAAGTTTCCGTCCGTCGTGATTTTCACGATGGAGGTTCTCCTTTAGTAAGAACATCCTCTCCTCCAAATACAACTCTGTGAATTCTCAATCTTTACGTACTCTTCTACAACAACTTTATAATTTTTTAACAATTTTATATAATATTTAATCACTGCGAAATTAGTATATCACTATTATTAATAAGTTCCTATTTTAATGATCAACTCATATAAATTATTAACATGTCTCTTCTCCGACTATGAATATTATTATCTACCGGGATAGAAATCAGAGCGTGTGCCAAGTCTGTACTAGCCCTAAACAGACACGCCCCAAAATAGGCCTGCCTTCGTTGGGCCTGGATGTGGCCTATAAAGGAATTCTAAGTGGAATTTCGTAAGTAGGCTCTGAACAGGCGCTGACGTGGATGCCCCTAACAAGACCTGTGACTCACCGAGCCCAGTCGGCCTAGTTAGACAGATTTACAAAACTGGCCCTAAGTTACATCTCTATACAGCATCCAGACAGAAACGGAGACAAATTACACAAGGCCTATTTTCAATTCCTACCCGGGTACTGTTCGATAGAAAACACTCCGCTTTTAACGGCAATTTGCAAACGCGATGAAGCACTAGCGGAGAAAATTAGCAGCTTCTTCGCGACATTCGCAGAGCCGCTAAGTGGAGACGGAAATTACGCTAATGGCACACAACGACCCTCACTGACGGAGCATGTCTCTATTAAGCGCGCGCGAAAAGAGGAAACCGCTCTCTCTTTCTCCTTTATCCCCGAGACAAAAAATCCGCTTACCTGGTGGTCCATGGTAGCACCTTGTTGCCCTCCAAACTGATGCTCCGCAGCTCGTACTTGGAGCGGTGTCGCAGCGGCGAGACCGGCGCCGCGTTCGCGTGCATCACGTTCTTCACGCTCTTCGTGGTGGGCCCCGAGAGCGCGTGTCGCCTCATGGACGTGCCCTCCCGCGCCGACTGATTGATCGTCCTCCGCAGGGAACTCATTTTCGCCTGTCACTCGACGTGTCCCACCGAGCCCGTCCTTTTACGACACGATCGCGCGAACGTTCCCCATAGCCCACGTGGACGCAGCGAGCGCCGACGGCGTTTTATTATGATAATTCGCGACGCGACCCTCGTCTCGCCGCGACTCCAGACACCGGCCGCCGTGTTTCAGCGTTGTTCCGCCGAGGAGGAGGAGCAACGAGCCTTTTCGCTACGCGACTCCCTATTCAGACCGGCGTAATCTCTTTCCGTCTGTCTCCCCGCGCGAGGAAGTTTATCCTCGTCAGACCCAGTTTCCCGCCGCGAGGGTCCTCGGCGCGCCACTCGGGGGCGGCGGTGGTGGCGGCGACGGCAGCATCCCGTGCTGCTCCAACTTCCCGAACGAACGTTTATGGGATAAACACGGATCCCACTCAATTACGAGCGTCTCGAGTTCCTCTCTCTCTCTCCTCTTTCTCCACGTTCTTCCGCCGTAACGGCCGGCCTTCCTCTCTCTCTCTCTCTCTCTCTCTTTTCCTCTCTTCCTCCCGCTTCCACTTCTCTTCCCGCTCTCCGCCTCTCGGAAGTAGTTACTCCGGAACTCGTCGAAAGACGACCGGTTCGTTAATCGAGTTCCCGCCTTCGTCCGTCGCGGAGGAAGCCTCGATTCGCCTCGGCTGCTCGTGTCCACGCAGCGTCGAACGTAGCTCCGCTTGTCGACCGGATCCTCGGGAGTGTCATCGTCATCATTATCATTATCCCGGGGGGCTTCTCCGCTCCTCCGGAACGACCGTGACGGTGGCCTCTTGCTCGCGTCGTAGTCGTCGTCGTCTTCGCGATCGTCTCCGTCGGCGACCACGCCGGTCTCGTCGCAGCTTCTTTCCGCGGCCTGCCGACTGGTCGCAGATGCACGAGCTTATCCCATACGAGCGTAAATGGCCGCGCCACCTTTCAACCCCACCATCCGGCGTCGTTCGCCACCATAACTCGCGCCGTCCGCCGCTTTGCTCGCCACCATCTAGCCCCACCATCGCTCGTCGTCACCCCACGTAGCCGTCGTCATCCCTCGTCGTGGAAACGCTCTTTCTCTATTCCCTCGGACACCCTCTCCTCTTTTATTCCCCCTTCTCGTCCCTCTCTCTCTCTCTCTCTCTTCTCGTTTCTTCTCGTCTCTTCTCGATATCGGCTGTTCGCGCGCGAGCGAGCGGCTGTTAAACCATCGTCCGCGCCTCGCCGAGCTTATCAACGGTCGCCGTTGCCGCCGCGATCGCCGGGGATGAACGCGTTGCGGATGTAGTCACCCCGTGTTGTGGTTACTGCGACTGCCAGGGAGAATCCCCGCTGCATCCCGTGTGTTGCTCTTTCCTTTTTTCTTTCCTTCCTTACTGACGTTGGACGGGTTGCTCCGTTCTCGTCGAGGCTGCTAAGGCCGCCAGAGTCACCCCGTCGCCGCACACTTCTTTTCTTTGACGATGGATATTAATAAGATTAAGTGAAGAATCAGTCTATGCGGATTACCGGCTCTCAAAGGGAGTAGCTCGCGGCGTGCGTTTCTCCGACGACGAAGACGCGGCGTCGCGTGATTCCTTTTGGAATTTGTTCGGCTCGTGTAAATGTCTTTGTCGCAGTGCCACGTTGAACAGGTAGTCAATCTATCGAGATTAAGTCTCCTTCGTATCGCGCTCGCAGGGCGAATATTAACGCAGGCTCGTGTGAAAACGAATCGAATTGGAGACTGACGAAGATCGAACGGTAAAATACTCTTCGAGTCTTTTCCGCGATCGAGCAAATCCTCTCTCTCTCTCTCTCCCTCTCTCTACATCGGGTAATTTCGGCAAATCGACTTCGCAATTCGCAATCACTCCGAGACCGATATCGGATTCGCGTAATCGGGTCGAGCGCGCGACGTGAATTCGCGAAACGTGTAACTGGGAGAATTATTCGCAAGCCCTTCCGTATTTCGACGCGAGCACGTAGTGCCTATGCGTCGCGGGCTTACCCGTGCGTGAACGATCGCCTTTAAACGCGTAATCGTGCACGACACCCTTACTGCGCATCGGCCATGCACGAGCTCTCGCGTCTAAGAATTCTCCCCGAGAGTTTTCACGCAGGTCTGTGTCTAGAAGCGTCTTTTATTTTTCATTACTTAGTCTCCCGTGGAAAGATAGGCTAATGCGCTCACGCATATTAGAGCGCCGGAGGAGGGCACGAGATGTCTCCGGGGTTCGCGAGTTCTTAACTTCTTCGCGACGACGAGGTCCGTGTTCCTTTATCACGTTAAGTTTCGCAAATTATCGTCGCGATATCAAGTATCGCGGCGATAAAAGCTCGAAATGAATTTTACACGTGAGTTTTAATCGCGTTACACCGGAGGGCAAACTGACTATTCGTAATAACTTCTGCGCACCGGTAGCCGGCAAATTGAAATTTTTTTAATTCAAATATGCATATTCATCAGAAAGTTTGCTCTCTATTACACTTCCCCCCCCCCCCACCCCCACCTCCGCGCCGTATCCTCGGCAGCGTGTGTTTGGCCGCTATTGATCGTGAAACTTAATTTTCGCACGCTTCGTGTGCGCTCCATAAAAATAATCATTAGCTTCATTGCGCGCTGCCCGACGCCCTTCGCTCTAGCCGCTCCTCTCCGTTGTAATCGCGCGGAAACAAATCCTAACGCAAAGAAATTTGTTCCGTCAAATTTCACAAGAGAGGTCGCGAGCCGTTTGGATGTCGCGTATTATATCAGACGACGTCGCGGGAATTGTTTCACGCACTCCGCGGAAATTTCAGTCGTTAATCACGAGGGAACTTCAAATGCAATTACACGTCGCTACGGAATTCCGTTGTTGAGATAAACAGAGAGAAAAAAGAGAGAGAGAGAGAGAGAGAGTTCCCACGTATGGAAGCTTAGGAGAATTCGCAATTAATACGCACACGCTTCAGGCGGCCATTTCATCCTTTTATTAAATAGTCGCAGAAGCGAGTGTCGGCGATGTCGCGCGTGTAACAATACTTCGCAACAATCACGCGTCTCAAACGAGACGTAACTAGTTTGCAACACTGTAAAACACGACGACTCTCGTGGACGAGCGAGGAGGAAGAGGAGGATGAGGCAATCTCAATCGTCGGACGTTAACAATTAATTTAGATACGAACGAGGCGAAGCGCGAAAATTTCGTGTAATCGGAGCGCACGTATACACACACACACGTACACACGCGTGTCTCGCGAAGAGGCGCTCGAATTTTTGACCGACTGCACCGGTATATCTACCCCGTTAATGTGCCGAAGCTCACTGCAACTTGCGAAGGGAAATGACGTTTAACCGCGCGTGCCTCACGTACGTCACAATTCTCGCTCACAGCCCCGAGCGGCACGTGTCCCCCACGCGTGCACCGCGCGCGCCAACCCCCTTGTTCCCGTATATACGTATTCGCAGCACACCACCACCACCACCGAGAATACACCACCGTGCGCGTCGTCGTCGGTATGAGCGCAGTCGTCGCGTGTCACCGCGCGCGTACGCGTATATATTGCGTAATCGCGTTCACCGTAAAGTAGAGGCGACTCATACAACGTGTAGCAAGTGAGTAATAATCATAAGATAGCGCCGTGCGAATTCGCCGGTCGCGTGCGCTCTCTCTCTCTCTGTCCTTCTTTCTTTCTCTCTCGCCTCTCTGCCGCTCGTCGAGCCGCCGGGCCGAGCAGCGGAGCAGCACCCCCGCAGGACCGCGAGCAAGCTCGGGAACGACCGTGGAAGACTGCTCGATTCACGGCCAAGATAATTCCGCGAAGGGTACGCGGGTGCGCGGGAAAAACGCATGCGTCGATCCGCCCCGCATGGTCGAAGAAGCGAGGCACGTAGCACATACGCGCGCGACACCCCGTCGGCCGCGACTTGTTTTCGGGGAAAACAAAAGCATATATCTATTCGCGAGCGAGGGGGAGGGGGGCGTCAGCCAACGCGCCTCGGCGCGTCTTTTTCCACTCGAGGGATCGATCTAGGAGGACTTCGCGAAGCAATTATACGAAGCTACCTCGCACGTCCCATCCTCCGCCCCTCCCCCCCCTCTCACTACCTCTCTCTCTCTCTCTCATTCTCGCTCGCTCACTCGCTTTGTCTTACCTCTATCTCGAGCTCCGATGCGACCTCGAGAGACCTCACTTCTCGTAATCTCGCTCGAGGCTGGCCGTCGATTTCAATGGATCAGCCGCGTGCGCTGTACGCTCTGCGGAATTCTTTCCCTCGCCGTAATTAATTTAGACGGCTTCGCCGATTGTTCCCATCGAGGAGCCGCGCCCGGATGAACTTGCCGGCTCCGACGATGCAATCTGGTTACCATCCGCGAGGAGGTAACCTTGGTATCTCGCCCTCTCTCTCTCTCTCTCTCTCTTTCCTTGCGAACGCTGTTCCGCGTTACCTCTTTTACTTCTTTCACACCCTACTTACCAACCTACTTACCCACCTCTCTCCCTCCGATACGAGCAGATAAATTGTTCGGCAGTATCAGGCTACTCGGGGGATCATGGCGGATTTTAACAGACTTCGCTTTAATCCCCATAATCCATACGTTCTATGCTGTTATATTATACTCGATATTATATTACATTCCCTTCCCGCCCATTCGTCCCCCGCACTCGGTGTGTTATTCGTGAAATCATGAATTATGACTCCCATAGAGAGATCCGGGGGTCTTGAAGTTGCTCCGTCATTTTCCGAACAGCATAGTTGCTCGAAATATTCGCATGTGATAAATAATGTCGTTGAATACCAGACGAGGGTATCCCTTCCCGGTATTCTTCCGAAATTTCGGCGATCTCTTTTTCCTCCTCCTCTTCTCTCTCTCTCTCTCTCTCTCTCTCTCTCTCTCTCTCTCATTCCTTTTATACCCCTTTTGGTCTGAAAAATTTATTATAAATATATTCTACATCCATATTTCTGTACTTGGCTCTTTTCATTTCCATGTAAACGTTTTTAGAGGGCTCGCTGTAGAATCTAAATAAAAACGTCGCTATCTCTCTCCACCTCGCGCACAAAGGGTGGGTCGGGTACGCCAGAATAAGATGTTTCCTAGTGCAGGCATCATCAAGTTTATTCGGCAATAAGTGAATAACAATACAAGCCGCATTGGATAACCAATTTTATTAATAGCCATATTCACCGAACTCGCGCCAAAGCTCGAAGTGTTACACATCCCCGTTTATTCGTATATCGTAATCACCGTCGAGCCGGGTTACCTCGTCGATGTTTCGACAACGCGAAGTCGGGCCGCGCCGTTTTCTGTTAATCTCTTGCAGAATAATACGAAGCGACGTGGGTTACGTGATTTGCAACGCGCTCGGACGCGCGGCTCGCTGCGGCTGCCGGCGCTTATTAGGAGTTACAATGTTTAGTTCCGAACTTAGGTGTCCGCCGCATTTCTCTCCAAGTAACAATCGCGAGGAGAACGAACGTTCTAACATTACCACCCAATTATTTTACTAGAGACGGTTATTTCTTTCTCTCTCTCTCTCTCTCTCTCTCTCTGTGTTTTCCTTTAATTTGATTCTTCCTTTTGTTATTTACATCCCCGATAGCACCCATTCGTAGCGCTCACGCCCGGATGAATAATATTGTTGTTGCGCGGGCACGCGTACGACTCTCAAAAGGGACAGTCGATTCAAACGCAATTCGCAATTTTTTCGTCGGAAAATTCGATATAAAAAATATATGTATACATAAGCATATATATATATATATATATATATATATCATATCTAAAGGTTATTCGTTACGTTAATTTCTAACGATATACAGCGCGGCTATTGCACCTGATATAAGTGGCGATCGCGTCTTCCCGTTGCTGTCTTGGTTCGTTCAATCGCGTCTCCGTGAGTTAAATACAGGCGTCTAATTAGTTTTTCTTCCTCTTATCGTAAGCGATATTTTCCCTCTCTTCGAATTTTCACTTCGCAATTTCGCAGCGATTTTTTCTCCTTTTCTTCTTCTTCTTCGCGTTCTTTTTTCTTCTTTCCGACCGGAGACACGTCCCGAGAGGTCGATGTAATTTATTGGCGAAAACTCGGACGTTGATAAGACTTGTTAAGTAATTTCTCAGTATGATTTATTACCTCGTTAATCGCGCTTGATATTCCTTTCATGCATCGCGCACTTTATGTTTTATTCATCGATCTGCGTGTGGGCTTAACGCCGATCGCGATATTCGTTTCGACGGTTAAAATATGCGTAACTTTATTGCGCTGATTTTGATTTACATTGTCGCATACGGGGAGAGAGTCAAATGGTCGTTCTCTCTCTCTCTCTCTCTCTCCCTCCCTTTCCCTCCCTCCCTCCCTTTCTCTCTCTCTCCCTTTCTCTGCATCGCGTCCTACAGAATTCGCAGAAAATCACGCGCTTAATACGATATCGTGTAACATTAATTCCAAATCCTTGGACGGATTTATCTCGCAAACAAACATTCAACTCGGAATCGGGCTATCGATCGTAACTCGTACATGCTCTATACTCGCGCATACTCGATTGCATTGTGAATTGCATATGAATAACGAGAAGGACAGTTGTTCCGTCATCGGTAGTATCGTTAAATATTATAATCAAACGTCACGGCGTATAAATTATGATACAACGCGCACTGACCGTCAATATAAATAGCAATTGCGCAGGAATAATTAAGATGGCGAACGTTCCGCAATTAGTCATAGTTATGCAAGAAGGGTCCATTCTACAATTATCATTTTTGAGATTTTGCTACCAACAGGTAGCCTATACGCGCATTCCATGTGGATTGGATCCTTGCGTTTATCCTTCTTGCATAATTTGGAATAACTCCAGGGACTAACAGCGATTTTATTTCGATACGATATCGTATATTACATTCCATCGCTCTTGCGACATTTCGCGTTATCGCGATGAAAACTCGCGCGAATTACATCAAGTTATTTCGTTCATTATCGTGTCCATTAATGTTAAAACGGTACGCGCACATAAAGGCGCCATCGTCGCTTAAATCCGCGGAATGCCGAGATTGCTGAAGAGACGCGAGATGGAGAGAAACTCCGTCGATTACGCGCGCGCAATCGCGAGGAATCACACGTCGTTAACGTGTCGTTGATCAACATGCGTCGACCGGGACTTCGCGAGCTCCGCATTGCCGTCTCGCGGTTCAAGATTCAAAGGAAGACTTCGTAAGCCTTAATAATTGCGCGTAAAGAGAGAGAGAGAAAGAGAGAGACAGATAGAGGGAGTTACGCAAAGATTCAACGCGCGTGAGAATATACATTAGCCCTAAATACGTAATTACACAAATACACCTATCTACGCGGGTACGTACCGTGTCGGTCGATAGACCGGCTATTTCTCGGTCGAGTCCGGGTACTCCGACGATAATACATTGTAAATCGGGGAAAGGGACCCGTGGACGGAGAGAGTGGGCACGGGAGGGGACAAGGGGGCCAGGGTGATTGATTGGGTATGTTTGTTCTTGAAGAGGGAGATTCTAGCTAACGTTTGAAGCGTATAACCCAGCACCAGTGTGTTTCGTTACCTACTTAAGTAAGACTATTATCGCAGTTGCACCGCCGACGAGGGGGCTTGGTAGGGCCACAGAGGGGGGAGGGGCGGAAAGGGTGGTTTCTCTCGAGTCGCATGTTGCTCACCCCCGCGCGAATCACCCCGGTGGGAGATCGCGGCGATCTATCGAACGTTAGGAAGCTGAGAGCTGCGCGTAGCGCGCTCGATCCCTCGGCGCGATTATTATATTCTATTACTATTATTATTTTTATCATCGTTATTATTATTATCGTTATTATTATTATTATTGTTGTCGTTTGTTGTTTCCCATCCTGCGATTGTCTACCTCTCGCATTGTCCCCGTGGATCGTGAAAAAGGGGTGTGAGTGGAGTTGGACGGATTTGCCGATTAATCCATCGAAGCCCGCGCGGGTGGCTGGGAAATTTTTCAAGGAACCTTCGTTTCTCTCCCTCTCTCTCTCTCTCTCTGTATCGATTCGCGAATTTTCCCCGGATTCGACGCGGCTGTCGTTTTTTACGAGAGCACACGAGTCGTCGAAGTGATCGTCCGCGGGGCGGGCTCTGCGATGGATTAATTCGCGCGATCGGGAATCGACCTCGGTGGTGGAAATCTCGCCAGAATCTGCAGACCCACTCGCGCCTGAGACCGCGTTGTAAAAACTCGCGTCTCACGAGTGACGGTGTGAAGAGAGTGGCGTTGGTCTCGGGACATCGGGAGAGATCTTGACGGAATCGCCCCGGAAAATTGGGGCGTGGGTGCGCGGGAGTCCTCGGGCAGTGAGCGGCCGTGAGGGTGGCCGGACGGAAAGTAGGACAGCGTGTATAATCGACGTAAGGACGAAAGGAAGAAACGGCTGACCACTCGGCGCGAATAAGTGGATTTTACGGCGAACGCCGTCGTTCTTGGCAAGATATCGATCATACATAGGAAAGTATTTCCTTGGGAGTGAGACAAACGCCGTATCCGCTCGTGTGTACAGCCGCGTAAATATATCGGGGGGAGGGGCGAAGACGGCCGTGGAGGGGGAAGGAGAAGAGAAAACGGATATACGAGTGGTGCTCGCGATACATCGCATCGCGATCCGTCGCGTCGTTGTAGTTGCATGCGAGCTCGACTTTCACGAACTTCTTTCGCGATATCCTTTAATCCCTCGAGCGGCGCGTACATACCTCACCTCGCTCCCGAGCGAAATACTTCGAATCCGCAAAGTGGCCCGCGCAACCTTCCGACGGTATCTTGAAGTTTCAATCTCGACTCATACTTACGACACCCTGCATCGTTCGATCTCTCTCTCCCTACCTCGGAAGATGACTTTTACGTCCATTACGACGGAGCTCTCCTCCCTTTTGAAAGAGCGGAAATCAATTCTCGTCCGAGGTGCAACGAAATCGGGAAATTTGGCCGAATACGCGAGCGATTGAAAAAAAATACACCGCCGTTTCGTTCGCCTCTTGACGAATGAAAACACGACGGCGAGGAGATTCGGTCGAGAGATCGCTTCTCGAGATCAAGGAGCGTCGCCGTCGCGCGTAAAAGAGGAGCTCGAGGTAAAACAGCGAGAATGTAGGAATCTCCGGTCCGCTCAGATCTGCATCTCCGGCTCGGAATTGTTGTCGTGGAACCAATCCGAGGCCCTCTGACTCTCGGACACGCGCACGTTGAGCTCCCTCTCGCTGTACCGGCTGGATCTGACGATGGACGGGCCGAGGCCGGCGCGTCCTCTGTGCTCGTCGAAGGAGGTGAGCACCTCCAGGCGATCGCCCCGTCGGATGACGCGCGGCGTCGTCTCCACCGAGCTGGCGCCGTCGTGCTCGGCCGCCCACTGCGGCAGATCCATGATCCCGGAGGGCATACCCCAGTGCTCGGTGAACTCGGAGCCCGACCTCGCCAGACTCGGCTGGCTGAGCGATCTGACCAGAGAGTCCGCGCCTTCGAAGGAGCTCAGGCTGGTCAGGTCGTCCCTGTCCACCCTGGCGAAGTCGCGCACCGTCATCTCGGACATCGATCTCAGGTCGGCCTCGCTGCCGGCACCTCCGGCACCGCGGGAGTGAATCGAGCCGGCGAATCGGCGCGAACGGCTCTGCGCGGCCACGGTCGTCGCGGACTGCGAGGTCTGCAGGTGGTGGCTCTGGTTGGTGCGAGCCGAGCTACCACCGTCGCTCTCGTACTCGTACAAGGTCGGCAGGGAGGACCGGCGGGACCTGGTGTCCCATTCGGACGACTTGGAGCGCTTGTACCGTTGCCCGTGATTCTTGCCGTGGCTGGAGGACGAGCCGTTGTGGCCCGACGGCGGGCCCAAGATCCGTATGATCACGTCCCACTTGGCCGGCGGGAACAGATTCACGTATCTCGCGTCCTTTCGTATCAGCTCGTAGTCTTCCTTGACCACCGCCTCGGTCAGCAAGGTCCTCAGCGTGCTCTCCGTCGTGATGATCTCGCGCCACTTGCCGCGCTCCTCCTCCGTCAGCTCGGAGGCGTAACGCGGCTCCAGCACGCGCGCCAACCTGGTGTACCAGTCGGCGTCGGAGTCGTCCAGGGAACGACGCGTCGCCGAGGGTGGCGGTCTGCAGGGTATCTCGGCGCGCGTCGTGTACGTCGGCTCGATGTTCACGTCCGGCTCGTCGTCCGTCAGGTGGTGATGCGTCGGTTCGTTCGTGATCGTCAGGTTGGAGGTCGAGCTCACGTCGGAGAAGTTCTCCCATTCGGGCGGCGGCGGCGGCAGGTCCTCCGTCGGGTAGTTCCTGATGGTGACGTCCCACTTGAGATCCGGCGGCGGCTGGGCTCGGGCGCGATACTCGGTCACCTGCCGGCAATGCCGCTCCACGTCCTCGATCGTCTTCTTCTCCGTGACGGTCCTCAGGAACACGTCGTCCACCTCGTGGGTCGTGATCTCCGGACGGCGGGGCGCGACCACCTGCGGCTCGACCAGCGGCTCGGTCATCTCGTCGCGCAGCAGACGGTGCTCGCGATGTTGAATGGCGGTGTGGGTCGCGGTGGTGGATGTGGTGGGCGCGATTGGCGGCGGCGGCGGCGGAGTGGGCGCGAGGATACTCGCCACCCTGTACTTAGCGTGGGAGGCGTCCGTCACCTCGGTGAGCGAGCGGCTCTCCGTGAGTTCGGTGTTCAGGGAGGTCAGGGATCTCGGCCGGCGAATCTCGTGATGCTGCAACGCCGGTTGCTCGGCCACAGGCGAAGATAGCTTGTCTTGGCTGGTCACGGTGGTCTCCCTCTCGGCCTGTTTACGCAGGATCCTCGAGTAGACCGGCGGCGTCTGCTGCCGGGAGATGGTGGAGACGGACGACGCGCCTCCCGGCGGTCCGTGGAGCTCGGGAACGTAGGAGAAGGTCGTCATACGGTAGGGCGAAGACTCGAGCGAACGAGTGATGCTGGACTCCTCTCTCTCCAGGATGGTCGTGAGGTTCCTCTCGAGGGCGACGCTCGCCACGTCCGATTCCGATGGCAGCGGACTCGGCGGCGGCGGCGGGGCTCTCTTCACTCGCATCTGCACGTCGAACTTGGGCTCGATCGGCACCGCCACCGGGTGTCGCGGCACCATCACCCGGGACGCGTTCGCAGCGGTCGTCGACGAGGTCTCCACCTCGGCGGCGACTGTCTCGGAGTATAGGGAGCTCGAGGTGCGCATCTCCACCTGTCGTTGCACCTCGTGGTGGTCCACGAACGCCTTGTTGTCGTAGGATCCGGCGGAGGACACGGGCAATGAGCGCTCTTCGTCGACCTGTACAACCCAGGGGCGATCGGTGCGATCAGTGCGCGGAATTATCCTTCCTTTCGAGAAGTTGGGGAAAATATTCTCGGAATTCTGAAGGAACTTCCGGTTGTAAGAACGAAATTTGATTCGTGAGAACTGAAAACTTTGTCAACCTTCGAACGAATCTGGTTGCTCATTGTCAGGTATATTGAGAAAATATTGTAGTAAAATTTACGACCAAAAAGTTCGTAACGCTGGATTATATCGGAATTATTATCGATATTGTTATGTAGGTTGTAATCTTTAATGATGTATACACGCGATATAAATCACTAAAGATTACGACGCGTATCATAATCTCAGTCATAATTCCAGCATTGTTAAATTTGGTGGTAATTTTCGCTACAATATTTTCTCCGTGTGGATCCAACCAGATTCATATTTTCACATAAACTTTGCTCTCAATATTTTTACGTAGAAGTTGATCGATATGCCGAGTTATCTTATTTTCTATCTAATGTCTCTGTAATTAAAAGAAGATGATGGAAAAGTATCCTCCCTCGGCAAGTAATTATCCGCTTAGTGTTTACCTTGAATATTTTCACGTACAAGTAAATCGTCTCGCTAAATTACTTTTCTCCGACGTCTCTCCGATTAAATGAAACATTGGAAAAATATTTTCGACAAATGCTAGTTGCTAGTTTCGCGTAAAGTCCGCTGTTGACACTTTCACAGAGAAATCGGATCAATACGTTCGGAACGCGGAGTTTCGTTACTTGAACGAGCTCGCGTAGACGATGATGACGCGGCGCGATTGAAAATCCCTCCTCTCCCGGGGGCTCCTTGCGACGCGTTACAATTTATTACGATTATCTGTAGACTAAATGAATTAAGATCCACGACGGAAGAGCTCTCTCGCGCGGCTCCTCACGCTAAAAGGATTAACGACTATGCGCGCGAGCGAGCGAGCGAGCGACGCTCTCTCCTTTCGCATGCGCCTCCGCGCAATCATCCGTCTTCCCGGGCAATTATCGGGACTCACCTCGGAGTGGCTTTCGCTCGGGTAGTCGCTCGGCAGCGTGTCCGAATGATCGATCACGAGATTCACCTCGCTACCGGAAGTGGACGCCGCGGCCGCGTGGAGGAGGGCGTGCGCGCGGGGTATCTTCAGGCCCTCGAACATGGTGATGTTGCTGAGGGACGAGCCCGAGAGTTTCGTTATCTCGGAGCCGGTGCCGCTCTCGAACGGGTGGCGGTGCACCACGCGAACGTTCCGCCGCTTCAGGCACATGTAGGAGCAGCCGAGGCCCAACAGCAGCAGCGACAGGAACAGGATCGCGCAGATAATCAGCAGGATCTGGAAACCCTTGAGCGGCGGTTCGGTCACCGGCGCGGGCGCCAACGTGGCCGATCTGGGCAGGTCGGGCGGAGTCAAATTAGAACGAGAGGAAGAGAAATCACGGGGACCACGTGGGACGTCTTCGTTCATAGGGAGCGCGGAGGGGATGAGGGAGGGTTGTTTTCTTTCTGACAGTTGTTGCTGCATTTTTCATCGTGACACAGCTGATGTGTCTCTTTGTGACGTCTATGGGAACTTATTTTACCAAGTTGTAAAGATTATAATTTTAAGTTAATTATCAAGTGAAAACCACGTCTGACCATCAAAAATGATTATTTCCTTACTATATTTGTGAAATTTTTTTAACAGTTGCATTTTATAAGAGAAAAAAAATCTTACTCGATATATTCTAATATGTGATTTTTCTTTCTAATGCATAGTTCTTGAGTTCTACGATACAAGTGTACTCTAACTTCGATGTTTAACCTAAAAGTTTTGGATAACCGTTTTAACGTAAGGAAGCGAGTTGGGACGTCCTAATCTTCCCTTGAGATATCTTTACGCTTCCATATATTTTTAATCTACTATATCAGTCTTAATATTATTGTCATTTTCCTACAATACACCTGTTTTCTGCCTTCTTTATAACAGCTTTAATAAATCATTTTTATTTAATACTTTAATAGATGTTACTTTAATAAATAATCTTACTAAATGTTACAATAAAAACTAAATACGTTAATAATTATAGTTACTTCCGTTTACTTTGCCACAATTCTCCTTAGTACGGAGAAGAGTCGGGACAAATATTCGACTTTACAATTTATCTAATTACGTTCTTAATTCTTAAAATGATTAAATTTAAATGACATTAAAACTTTGCATTAACTCCCTCGGTAAAGTAAAACAGATCAGTCTCAATGTTTGTTGTTGCGAAATCTTGAAAGACAAAAGGCTGGGAAAAACAACGTGTTAAGATGATTCCAACTCTCCTTCATCTCCCCCACAGTCTCGCGGGAGAAGCGCCGGGAAGTGCGCGATGTTAGGCGAGACGCGTTACAGTTACAGCGGTAAGTTCGCGATATCTCGCAGCTATCCCCGCGAGCGTAACTGGATTGCGGGAAACAAAGGCGTGTATCGTTGCGGGTACGTCGAGCACCGCACGGTTAGCCCTCATTCGCGATCCCTCCGACGCGATTACGGACGAAGGCGAGAAGGCGAGAGAGACGCCGATATTAGGCGCAACCTTCGTCCCGGAGAGTTGACGGTTTGCCGAGTAATGGAGACATGCGCGCGCTCCAGCTCCCCTCGTTTCCGTAAATTGTATTAATGGCATGCATTAGGTAGTGGATTTGGTTTCCCTCGATGACAGACGGACGGTAGTTTGCTGCGTTAACCTCGTGTAATTTACGCGACGCAACGACACCGTAATCGCCGGTTCTCGCAGAAACGGGGACGGTGTGTCCGCGAGAGCACGCGCAAGAACGGCGCGTCTTCGGGTTGTAACGGGTACTTTATCGAGTCGTGTCATTCGAGTCTACGATGAGACGCGAAAGGATAATTATCGTCGAGGTGATCACATTGAAGAAAGCACCGTCGGTCTTTGGAGAAGGAATATTGTTATGGGATTCACGGCGTATCGTACGAGGCTACTTAGCGAGAAATCGACGCTAACGTACTTTCGCGTAAGACTATACCCGACAATAGACTTTCCGCGGTGAGGATTTCAACAAAGGATTCTTACATGCTGGCCGGCGGCGCGGGAGGTGCCGGCGCCACGGGTGGAGGGTATCTGCAGACTATAGTGATAACCTCGTCTCCGTCCATCTCTAATCCGGGGTGGAAGCGAACGACCACATTGTTGGTGAACACGCGCAGCGGATCCTGCCTGGTGCCGCATCCTGAGGAATAGAGATTATTTTGCGCGTACAAAAATGAAAATTTCCTCCGGTCCCGTTGGAATTGCACGGCGCGCTTGAATATTTCAATCCTCCCACCTCCTCCTGGCGATCGTGGCTGAACCGAAGATAACGAAATCGCGGAATGAAGCGTCGATGAAATCATCGGTGATTTTTGCGTATCTATCCTGTATTTTTCAACTTACGCTTCGCTATACTTATACAGAGCGTCCCAGACTTCGCGATTTGAATTTTACCGAGAGTTTCTCTGAGCAATTTGGAAATAATTATCCCTCTTCGAAATAATAATAATAATAATAACAATCATAACAATCACTTTATTGGACGTGATAATTACGAAATTATACATGAAACAATGAATTATTAATGAAAATGTCGAAGCAGGTCATGTACTCATGTACGACTTTTCAACGTTCAACAAATAACATATCTTTGTAGCTAAATTCCAAAATAAAAATCTGCTAAACAAAGTCCGCTTAAAATCGGGAGAAAGAAACAATAATTTCGTTGTTGATTTGGTCGAAATTTAGCTTGCGAAAAGCCCCGCTTTTTCGATCGCTCGTACTTCGAGAACTATCGACGCCTCGACGTTTTTCACTGAGGAGAAGGTCACGCTCTCGGTAAAATGAAAGACGCGGGGCATCCTGCGTGTTACATTTCCCCAAGAGCGAATTTGAATTGAATATAAGGACGTGTGATATACCCTTGAGAGGTAGCTCCAATTTGGCGGTGGTCGCGCCCCGTCCTTTGAATATGCAGGCGCTGTTGCGATCAAAGTCGGCGTAAGCCACCCCGTAGAACGGCTCCTTGAACTTGAGCTCGACCTGCATGCTGCCCTGTCCGCAATTGAGAACGGCTTTCGTTCGATTCAGAAATATAATCGGCGAGATGTCGTCCAGCTTGGTGACTTTGCCGTCGAGGACGGTGCTCGGCGGCAGTCCCGGCTGATACTCGATGCTGTTGCCCTGCGACGCATAGTTGCTCTGGGACAGCGCAATCGGAATTGCCGCCCAGAGCAGCAGCGCGAGCAACTTCGGCAGCATCTGCGGCAAGAAGGGTCGACGATGATTCTTCGGGCGCAGGCGAAAGAGAAAGCCGAGCGAGGACGGATAACATGAAAAAGATCGTTATGAGATGTTAACGTTCTCTCGGAGAATAATGACGGCGGTGTAATTAGTCGCGGGTGCTCGTCCGATAAAAGATGGGGTCTCGTGCGTTGGAAAAATTCGTCGTGGAATTAATGAATTTGCGCTCGCGCACGGCCCCATTGTCGAGTATTCTCGTTAAAAGGCGGTGATATTTTCACGACGTGAAAAACTAGGGAAAGGGAAACGAGAATTTATTTCATAAAATATACATGTGCGGTTAATGCGTCGCGATTGTGACGGACAACGGTTACGCTATCGCGACATTATACGGTCGCAATTAGCGTAATGAACTTTAATAACAAATGCCCATGCGCAATACGAGACATCAAGATCGGAATCACTGTTTCCTCAGGTATCATCCACAAGGAAGCGACTTGGACACCCACATTCCCACGAGCGACTTTCAGAATGTGAGTTTTCCTTTGTATATTTCACAGCTACGTCATTGTTTGTACGCGTCCACCGGCACACGCGTGTACGCACTGTGCGTCATCGTGTTTCCTCCGCTGTACCAGAAATCGCTCGCGTTTCTTCCTCGAAATTCGAAACACGGGAGGCAAAATCCGACACATTTTGAGAACAGAGAAGTTGGGAAAAGTAGCGTTGGTAATCGGACGACCGGGTTAATATCGAGCTGATCGGAGAATCCGCGCGCTTGAGGAAAAGATCGCCAACGACTTTCAACATCTCGAGTAGACAGCGAGCCCTTCCCGTGCGGATCCCCTCTTCTATTCAACCGGAGCGGAGAAAGCCGTTATCCATCGTGATATTTCCTTTCCGAGACGTCAAACACGGGATAAGCGCGGATTGTAATCTCCAATCTCCCTCCCCTCTCGGCGCGCCGATATAATCTCGATCGCATTGGAATCCCGCTACTACACGATAAGATTAATCGTCCGAGGAGTTAGAGAGACGAGTAATTGCGCCGAACGGTAACTCTCGTAATAATTTGCATATTACACGAGACCGCATACTCTCTCTTTCTCCCGTGAATTACGAAAATAAAAACGACACGTCGTAATTATAATGATACACGAAATGATTATGTCCGGACGAGCCGCGACCTCCGGGGCTCGCTTAGATATACTGTTACGTTTACCGCCGGTAATTGCGCTAAGCAAACGTACAAATTATAGACCTTACTATTCGCTCATGAAAATATCACGTTGTGCCGCGCGTTGCGTTTCGTTCTTTCGTTTCTTCCTTCGTGCGCACGCTCACGTTTCGCATCCAACACGGGTCGCGCGCGCGCGCTCAGGACGGACGGCGCTACGTTGTCGTAAACACCAGACGACGATATTCCCGACGATAATGCGGAAACGCGTGAATCATTTCGCCGAGCGATGCCTTCGTCGTCGGCCGGGGGGATTCGCGGAGGAATCGCGCCGCGTATTACCGTACGCCGCGGAACTGGACGCGCGGCGAACTGTTCTCGCCGTTCGTTGCTCGCTGCTGTTTAGTAGCGCGTGAGAATAGTTTAACGTCCGGCAACTCCGTCCACCGACGCCCGATTTCGTCGAGAGAGCGCGGGAAAAGTGTCGGAAAAATCACCGCCGAAAATATTCACATTTTCTCCACCCTCGGATTCAATCTCCCCGCCCGTAAGAATTCGATTCGTCGTGAAAGATTCCAAGTTCAGTCTGCATATCTTGCTTGATGATAATTCTATCGTGTGAAAAAAAAAAACAACGATAATATTTTGCCCGTCGATGCCGGTTTCGTCGAGAGCGCAAGAGATATTTGAAAAATCACTGCCAAGAATATTCGCATTTTTGCATTCTCGGATCCGTCTTTCCGTAAGAATTCAAATTGCATATCACACGAGGCTGCATACTCTTTCTCTCCCCTTTACCTTCCCCTTCTCTCTCTTTCTCTTTCTCTCGTGAATTATGAAGATAAAAACGACACGTCGTAATTATAATGATACGAGAAACGATTACATACGGACGAGCCGCGACTTCCGGAGGCTCGCTTAGAAATACTGTTACGTTTACCGTCGGTAATTGCGCCGAGCAAACGTACAAATTATAAAAGATTTCAGGTGTAGCTCGGAACCTCTTGGTTGTTGGTTACTGCTAACAAATCTGTTACGCGAAAAGAAAGTGAGAGTCAGGTCGAGCGACTAAATTAATCGTCGAGAATGGCTAATCGATAATTTTGCGTGATTGGCGTTAAAAGCGCGCAAATAAAAGACGCAAAGTCCGGTTATGCACGTATGCGTATCGTGTTCAAACGAACGTTATCATTCTCCGCGATTACACGCGGACAACTTAAACGCGCCAGGAGACGGGCTATCAACCGTTAAAAGTAAAAATAGAGTCGGTCAACGGTCATTTACATAGCCGATGGCCGTGCCTAATTCGAAAAAATTGCCGCGCGCAATTTAGCGGCGCACGGTGGCTGCATTATTCACCGGTAATCGACTGGATTGACGGATAGGATGAGGTCGTTTGTTAGCGCCAAATATCGCACGTCGGGGATAGAAATAGTTATATTATCCAGTTAACTGCGCGTCGGGCTATATATAAGCCACGTCGGCGGCGATTAACAAAATTCCTCGGGACACGCGATGAGTGTTATAAATTATGGTAGAACAACNGATTCGCCCCCCCCCCCCCCCCCTCTCAACTTCTTCCTCCGCCGCTATTAAAGACGGACGAAGTGATTTATCGTTCGCGAAAATTTGGCGGTTTTCAATTACCCGATGCAAAATATAGAAAAAGGGAAGAGCAAGAAGTGATCCTCCTTTACGAGTGCACCCTCAACGCGTTCGCGTGAAAGGAATACTTTCCCGAGTCGAAACTTGGTTTCTACGTTAATCCTACAAATTTCGCTGACTTTGGAGGATCAATGAAAAATCTTGATACATAGTATCGTGCAAACCATCGTCCTACATTGATATCGCGAGCGGTTGTTTACTACAGTTTTCTCCACGCTGAGTCTGAAAAATTTTCACTTCGGAATTTTTCGATATTCAATTACGTCGATATTCTAGCAAGATTGAATCTTTATTTAAATCTCTAATGATTTGCATAAGGACTCCCCTTTTATTCAATCTTTCGAATAAAGATTGAACGTAGGTGGAGGCTGGTCGCGCACTCGCCCGAAAAAAACGCGGAACGCGCGAGAGTTACGAAACAATGAGCTACGCCGTTCAAGCAAAGGGCTACGTCATCCCCACCGTCAATCGCCAAGCGTCGTCGCCTACTGGTGGCAAAAAATTGACATCAATACACCCAAAACATACCGAAACTTCAAGGTGATTGAACTTACATGACGTGCGTTACGAGCTTTTTCATTGTGTTCGGAACGTCGAGCAACACGTACACTGTAGTGTCCGTGTGTCGGTACGGTTATTTATCGTTCCCGTCGGGCGATTAAAATATTTCGCCGTGAGTCGAGACATTTAATCGGGCTCTCGTCAACATCGCGTTAATTAACACGCGTTTCTTTGATCGAAACGTCGTATTCCCGGGAATGTCAGTGCCGCGAACGAGTATTCGGAAGGACAGGAGGTCGCCAGAAGCCAGGATGCTGGATCGAGTAGCCAAGACATCGAAGTGGAAGTGATTAACGATACGTCGTATACTTTCAAATATACAAAATCAATTGTTTATCATATAGGAAATTCCGATATATCGTTTGACAAGCTCGAGAAAGAAGGATATCCCGAGTCGAAATTTAAGTCCATATTTATAGTTGAATTTATTATTATTTGATGAATTATAACTTGACAATCGTACCTCAGCGAATCTTTCTTCACTCGTTAACTTGGATTTATTTTTTCATACGATAAGAAATATCGAACTAAATAGACGAAGAACGAATCGCGAATACGAGCCTGAAATGATGTTCTCGATCAAAGATGAAATTGAATGACGTTGCGAGATACTCCGTTTTGAATCTGTTAAAGCCGCATTTTCACTTTCCTTTCGCCTTAAACGTACCGAATTCGAGTGTTAATCTCTATCAGTACACAGCATTATCGGACGAGTGATAGTTACTTTTACTTTTCTCAATAATCCTCTTTAGGATCGACGTAGGGGCAAAATTTCGATTCGGGCTGATTTTTGCCGATATATTTAGCATCGAGGATTCAATCGACTTGACCGGCGAGTAACAACCGCCTCCTTCGCCGTCGATATTTTATCGTCCACGTGTACGAAAGCGCGACACTTTGTACGAAAGATCGCGCATCATCGCGTGAAATCGCGAACGGGCAGGCCGTCAGTAAGCGAGACGGGCGGTTCGTTAGAGCTCATTAAAGATTTTACAGCCTCTACCTCTTCAGCCTTCGGAGAGGAGGAGGGGAGGAGCCGAGCATCGCGTCCTCGATTGTGAGCGCGGAAAGTAACGCGCGAGAAATCACAGGAGAATCTCATGGCCAATTGTAGCGTTTCCTGCTTCCTGCGTTTCCTTTCTCCTCCCCCCTCATGCCGCTGCACGGTTACTTGCTTAATTATTTAATTGATGCACCGTGCACTGTGCACGGAGGAAAAAGGAAAGAACAGTTAATAGGAAATAACGAAGTACGATTTAATTGGCGATACTCCGTGCCGTGCGGAGGGGAGATATTACCCGGTCGTATCATCTTACCGTCGCATTAACATATCGCGCACGTGGAGTTAAAGTCGAAATAAAAATCCCCCTTCTCCCCCAAGCCCTCGCTCACCGCCCCCCTGACGCGACACCGCAGGCAGCACGGCAACGTGGCGCTAAATCATATTACGGTCCCTTCGGTAATATTACACTTCCCAGCCTCCCGCGGCTGCTGAGAAACGAGGTACTCGCGCGGTACTTTAAGACACCTATTACGCAAATCATTTTACGATCCTTAATTATTCTCGTCCCTCCCCTGCGTACGTACGTCCCGCCGTACGTTTGTCTTTCCGCCGGAGAGTCTCCGAAATTGAAAATAACAGCCCTATTACCGAAGTTTCGATAACGTCGTTAATTCTGCCGCGGCGGGGGATTGGGGAAGATCGAGAGGCGAGACGCGCGAATTTCTGCCGGACCTTCGCATCCTTCGGCAATGCGTAAGTAAAAAACTCACCTGCGCAAAGTAAAAACGCCTTTCGTCATCCGCGAAATGAGGGTTCGATTTATTTCGAGCGAGTGATGCTCGAGATTTCAAGGCCGGGCGGTTACGACTTTAACGCCGGTGCTTGGCCTTTCGTTTCATTACTTTAATCAATACTATCACTACGATAACATTTGTTGTTTCGTCAACGAAAGAGATTATTATTGATGATATAAATATATAAATATTAATATAATGATTTTAATTTTAATATGAATATTAATTAACATGTTAGTGTATTAAATGTTAATTAATTAATGTAATATAAATTGTATTAGTTATTGTTATCGTGAAAATTAAAGAAGTAAAACGAGGAGCGCGTTCAGCGCCTTCAGCGAGGAAAAGAGAAATAATTAACAACGGCTCCCGACGTAGGCGCGCCTTGTCTTAAGACAAGAGCGACTCGCAGCCTTTCCGGTCGTGGATCGCCGAGGCTACCCTAACGGTACAGTTCCCCTGATAGAACTTATTTTCGTAGAAAAGTCGAGTCATGCCCTTCCTCATCACACAGACGACCGACTCGCTTGCATTCAGACGCAACGGACTTTATTACGAAACTCTATTGTGCTTCCATCGTCCATCTCTCTCTCTCTCTCTTTCTTTTTCCTTTCCTTCTCTTTCTCCCAGCCCTCGCAATCGCTCGAAGATGTTGCGGAGATAGTTTTACTATAGCCATTATATCCGCGCACCGGCGAGACCATTAAAAAAGATGCGATTGATATCCGGTCTTCCGGCCTGGCGTAATCTTCGACTTCCTCGTGCGACCGACTACCGTGTCCAGCGAGAAGAGAGAAAAAAGAGGGCCGTAAGAAGCTTCCCGTCTTACCGGCGACTTCCGCGCGCGCGCGAGATATGCGAAATCCCCGGCTCAGCGGAACACGCGTGGAAATGATCGTCGTCCTTGTTCACAAGTCGTCGATTATCCGTAATTAAGCACACACTCTCCAATAAAGAAACGTGATAATAATCAGAAAAAAAAGGAAAAAATACCCAAGAGGAAAATTAATGACTCGACGGACCGATAATCACACTTATTCGCTTCTTCATCCTTTCGACAGCACTTTTTTATAAGGGATCTCAAATAAAAAATTTAATGAATAAAACAATGAAAAAGAAAATAAATTTTTCGAACTTATTACAGGGGATATTATTACACCTGGAATACGGAGAAAAATTATTTGCCGGCGTAGCAAATTTTATGTTGTCGCAGCAAAATCTGTCAGTCACTATGTGGATAGTAAAACGACTTGTTGAAGAGTATCGCCATTCGTTGAATTATTTTGTTGAATCTACAAATTATTTTGCTGTAAGAACAGTTTACAAGAACAAGTTAATAAATATGGGCAAACACTATTTGATTCTTACAGCAAATTAACATGCCCCAAAGATCAATTCACTCGCAAGTAGAAGTTTTCTATCCCGGCAACAAAACTGTTCCTGCTCTAATTACGAATAATTCGCTAATTTGATTATGCCAACTAAATTTTATCGCCGTCATAACGAATATTTCAAGTAGCAACCATGTGGTTCTGCTGCAATGACAAATTAATTTTTCTCCACGTACAACTCACACACACACACACACACACAATACGGATGGAAGATCGGCGATTTGAGTAGAATTCCCGAACGAGGTCTCTTCTCGCGGTAGAAATTACGTTCGCACGATTCGTCCGCGCGCGAATCAAGCCAATTCCTTCGACAAATTAGAGAAAGACGGATCGCGCCCGGTCAGCTCGGCGGTCATTTCGCGCAGCGTGCGTCCGCGGTGGAAACGAGCGAGGAAAACGCGGCGAGAAATCGTCGGGGAAACGTCCTCAGCGTCATCATCGTCTTTGTCGTTGTTCTCATCGGTGCCTTCTCTCGCTGCGTCTAACGATGACTCCTCGGCGAACCGTGATGCGGGACCGCGAACGAAGGAGAGTTCTCGTCGGCACGCTTCGATGCACTCGCGCCGGACCGGCTGCACCGTTAGACACCGCGGTAATACGCGCTCGCTCGCGGTAGTGCACGGTAACAAAATACCTGGTTATACTGACCGTTGCCGCCGAGGAGGTGTTGTTGATGCTCCGCGGCCGGGCGATCGCGATTTTTCCGCGCCGATTGAGAGATTGACGGTATTCCGTCAAACCCGGGAAAACGACGTCGATTGTTATTACAGATGCTCTTATTATTGATCGCAGCTTATCTTTTCGGGGATACTAACACAGATGTGCACGTTTAGATATGCTCGATTTTTTTTAATTCAACAAACATTTTGTCGACGATGATACAATGAACGTTATTGTGAAAAAAATATTCACCGGGAAATTCTACGACGAGAAGAAGAGAAAAATGTACGATGGGCAGATATTATGTTCGTGTCTCTGTGAGATAAGATTAATTTTTTCTGGCTTTAATAAATTCATTCCCCTGAAGAGAGGTTGACACGTTGACCGTCATGGGATCATTAGTGACCGGAGTTGTAAAGTCGCCCCGTTTCTCTTATTTACGCGTGAAATGGAGTCAATTGTACGCGGCGAATTAAATATACAGCAAACAGAGAGCCAACGAAACGGACCGACGAATATCGATGCATCGCGAATGGCGTTTATTTACCGTATCTTTGATGATTCGAGCTTCAGTTGAGCGTTAAAATAATCAATGAAAATCAGCGTGGCAGCCCACTGAATATTTCGCGTTCGTTCATATTGTAACACGTCCTTCCGAACGTACGCTATAGCGGGCGACGTCGTAATATAGCGGCGATAATGCGACTGAATTTATAAGAGCGACAATCCGCTCGTGGAAGTGAACGTCAGTGGAAAATCGCTCTTCGTTCCGCTTCCACCGAGAAATGTTGCTCTCTCGATCGGGAATTTGCTTTCGAGATTGGAGGTTATTTTCAGAGTGCAAAGTCCTCGAGATTGATTTTAATTGCTCCGAGGATCACTGGAGTGTGTCGGTCTCCGAGAGAAAGAGAGAAAGGGTGAAAGAGAGAAGGAGAGTGAAATTCTTGAATTACGAGCGTAGAAACTTTCATACGTCAATCATGTTGTTAGATACAGTCGGGAACACGGACGGAAAAACGGACAGTCGCCGGACAAGGTTTTTAATCAGGACCGTCGTTTCGACGTACCTTCGACGTTTTAGCCGCTTATTGATCGCAGATCCCGTCCCGCTCCTCGCCCCCGCGTGTCCCTAAGACTGTCGCATGGCGCGCTCTGTCCTGAAATACCAAAGTAACATGGCAGAGATTATTTAGTGAAAGTCATCTCGGCGGAGCGTGAAACATGCGGATATCTCGCGACAAGACGTGTGCGATCGACGGCCGAGGAAATACGGCTGAGAAACCCATTCGGTCGATTCGAATGAAGTTCTTGTTTGGATAGGTAGACGAATCAATGTTTTGGTTCTCATATTATCGAAATATTTGCTTTCCCATGTCCGAACAAGAATTCAGTTTGAATGAATGAGTTTTCAAATGAGTTCCTCAGCGTACAGCGCGTTGATAAATTTGCATCTCGTTGCCAACTTGCGAGATCGCGCGAATCTGTGGTGTTTCATATCGTTGGGGGGGGGGGGGGNGGGGGGGGGGGGGGACAAAATTTGGTGTCCCGTTAAGTACCACGGACGCGGTGCAGCGATCTGTTTGTTCCTTCAGTTCGCTTTCGGAGCGGTAACTCCGGCTTCACCGGTAACTCAGCCCGAATACCGTTAGTCTTGGTTGCGATTAGCCTCGCGTGGAGACGGTAGAAAATTCTATTATTTAATTGCAACGTGAATTGTTCGATCCAAGTGCGTTCTGCAACGTAGCGCGCAGGTAGATAGCGTGTGTGATTCGGTGGCTTTCTCACCGGGGGCAATTAAAGAAAGGCGCTCTTTCTCAGCCGAAACGTGTTATCATCGGAAACGCGTGGTTACCGGCCCGATCATTTTGTTGGATTCTGCGTTTCCAACGCATGCAGTCTTGCATTCTTCACGACCCCGGCGGAGTTACATTAGACTGCGCCTTGTAATTGCGTGTGAGAACGCGCTCGGCGATACGCGCAAATGCAAAGAGAGCTGGACGACTCGATAAACGCGTTAGAGAAGTGCGAGATCTGATAAAAGGATTTAGACACGGAGGAATCGCCGAGGATTTACGGGGATGTCTTTGCGAGAGCCCCGGCCGTTTTCCAATTTCACTTTCTTCCTCTCGTTCCGCTCGTTCTCTTTTCTCTCATTTTCCTCGGATTTATCCGGCTCCTCCGGGGATTTTCCCGAAAACCCGCGACTGTTCTCGCCATTCTCACGTGCATGAATTCTCAAAACGGCGCGAGAGAAAGGAAGAATGTAGGAATGAACGAATTCCTCCTCTTTTCCTTTCTTTCTCTTTTTTCCCTTTTTTAATATACATCATCATTACGTGTCATTTTTTCTTCTTTTTTTTCTTTTCTTTCAATTCTTGTATCTTCCGTTTTTCCTTGCCTCCTTTTGTTTTCTGCCCATCCTTCTTTGGAAACTGTTCCAAATGTAAACATTCTTAAAAGACCAGAATGTTCAATAAATGTCTTTATCTCTCTCCCTCTCTCTCTTTCTCGCTATTTTCGCGAGCATGAACTTTTAACATTTTGACGGCTGCTGTCACGTATACGTTCATTCTGCAAGCGGCTATTGTCTTCTAAAGAAACATATCTCGAGTTTACAATTATTACATTTCGCAGCTATATCAAGTTAGATGTAGGAATTTATGTACAAGGAGGATGTTTGTCTCTTTAGATACTACTTAAGCGAACTGTCGAAATCTATCGGCGGTGGTGAACAATTTTTCCGAGACACACGCGGCCGTTTAAAGTGTTAAAACAGTTCTGGAAGAAGGAAAGGAAAAAAAGAATCCTTTCCCTCTCCCTTCCTTTCTCTTCCTTCCATCCTCTCGCGCCCCGAGATCCCGAGGAATTGGCGAAAGTAGTCGCGGACTTTCGGTAAATCGTAGAAGCCGACGGAAAAAATTCGATAAAACTCCGCTCGCGCTGTGCGGCACACTTTCCTCCGACGAGGAGGTTACACACACTTTGATGTAATCGATTCCATGACACAGTACGATGATGTGCTGCCAACCTTGGCCGCTTCCTGTCGCACATACACACGCATAATACACACATATGCGCATCCATAAGCAAACACACGGGCGTACGCTGACAATCCTCGAGCAATTTTCTTAGACTGCATCGGGTGACTCTTTCTCGCACACCGACATTCTTTTGGGCGATGGCACGTGATCGTCGTGCCGATCACGACTTCGTCGCCGTGGATATGCGACCGGAATACGTTCGCTTACACGTGTATGTCCCGTGTAAGCCGCACGTACGTGTCGGTACTCCGCGACGTAATGAGGATCATCAGTGAGAGAGCTCACGGAGAAGGCCCTCGATGATGGTCAGGTCGGAAGATGTCCCACGCGATAATCCACCGACGCCAACGCGAGTCTGCATCGCGTCGTCGCGACGGTTAAAGGACGACAAAGCGCGACGCGAAGAGAACAGTATGCGCTACAAGCAGCGGCTTTCGCGAATCTTCCATGCCGGGGAACAGCAGCGATTTAGATATCTCGGAGAGACGGGGAATCTCGCGGTTGCAAATTACGCGCGATTTTGCAGAATTGAATTTCCCGCCGCGAATAGACGACGAGGAATTCATTCCTCGCTTGATTCCGGGTGAACCGGCCTCTCGCTCTCTCGCGTTTCACCTCTTCAGGAATGAATTATTAGAATCGTGAGAAGATCGATAATTTTTAAGTAAATATAAATATGTGACGAGATTTCCCCTTTTCTTGTGGAAATGCCGTAGTGAATGTTTATTCATCGCAACATTTGGCTCAGGTTGTTCTCGTTAGCTGAACTAGCGCCGCACTGGAAAGACTTCGTTCTTTTTCCCCCGCAACGTTGCGTTATTGTGCTTGTTTCGCTCCAACGGCAAAAAGTGCAACCTAGTTCAATTAAAAAGAACAGACCTTGTATCTTTCTCGACGATGTTTGAATTAAACGGGGGAAATTCAGCGTATCTAAACGTGTGGTCAGTCACGAAAAGCCGCACATTTTTTTTTTTTTTTAATAAATTTCGAAACGCACGTCAAGCAGGAGAATTTATTTTTAGTTATTCTCATGGGAGACGTTTTCTTACCGGGTACAAGATGCGTTGCGAAACTCGAATGAAAAAAGTGTTACAACTTTCTTGTGACTGACCATGCACGCATGTGTGTCAGTCATCTTGAAGAGACGCAGAGATTAATCGAATACGTGGAGTTAGCGGGAAAAACTGGAGTCTAATTAAGCTCCGTGATACCGAGGCGAGGGATTTTGAATTTCTCGTGATCTGTTATCGGAAGAAAGCGGGTCGCTCCGCGGACATTTAGTATCCGTCATCGGAAACTTTTGGCCGTCTTAAATTTAATTCGCCGCGACAGCAGCCGACGACGCGAGGAAAATAATGGATGACGTATGAGCCATAAATGTCGGGCGGTATTTACTCAAGGATAGAGATTGATTCGAGCAATCTTTCCGCAAGGGAGCAGAATTACTCTCATCGAGCGACTTTTATCGAGAGAAAATTTCCGGGGAAGATCGCTTCTCTCTGTGTAATCCACGCATACGCAAATCGAAGATAGAGAGACGAGGAAACCCGACGGCGGAATACACTCTGTCACGAAAATAGTTGATATTGTTGCAGAAGGAAAACACGTTTGTAGAGTATCGAGTTCGCCGTGTCGAGAATTTTCCAACGAGACAAAGACGGTCCCTCGCCATTTTATCGTTCAAATATAAAACGGTTATCCAGACGGAAAGTTCGAGCGAAGATAAAGCTTGAGAAACCGGGCTGCCGGGGCTGTACCGCGTAACAACTTAATAAACATTCGCTATGCATATTTTGCCTAGACAGACTTTCTCTATAGATGCGCGCGCATGTGTGCGTCTGTATGCGTGTACGTAGACGCGGAGAAACTTTCGCGGACCCCACCGGTCGGACGCACAAAGTGTCGTTATTAGAAAGAAACATGGCGCATCTTCGGGGGAAGAGAAACGAGAGACAAATTTCGTGACTTTTTCCACGAGAGAAGAACACGGGAGAATGTTTAATTAGAGACACGTATACCACACACACACACACATAAGCGCGACGGCAGCCCGAACCCCGCGACACGGCGAGAAAACGAAGACGCAACGTCATCCGATTGAAAGACGAAACGATTGAAACGCGAAACTGTCGGAGAGAGCGGATCGCGCGACCCGGCGATTCACAAGGCGCTAAATCACACGCTTGCGCGCGTTAATCATCGCGCGTTTCCCGCTGAAAATAATTCCCCCCCGGAGTCGTTTCGAATAATCGAAGCCTGACGTGTCGCCGAAGTTTATTTCTGCCGGGAAGCGATGACAATACTTTTCTCCGTGAGATGCTTGTAAACACGTCGCCGACGAGATTACTCACCGATGTCGTGACTACGGAGTGACTTATATTTTCCGCGGAACGCTATTACATAAAAGTATCACCGGCGGCGATAATTCCCCGTGCGAGCGCGCGAACGGGGAAAGGAGAGCCGCTGCTGTTTTCTCGCGGTTCACGCACATCGCCTCGGAAAACGGCAGCGCGTAAGAGGCGAGAGAGACGAGAGGACGATGACGGATTTATTGTTTTTTTTGGATAGGGCGGTTCATATATTACGCCAGACAAAGGATATAACAGAGGGGAAATATCGAGAGAGAGAGAGAGAGAGAGACGAGCGACGAATTTATCGTTTACGCCCTCCCGACGTGTACTCGCGATCTATTTTATAGAAACCGCCGACGTATTTCGAAAGATCTCGCCGTTCTGTCGTGCCACGATAACGCCGTCGATGACAACGGCCGACTACTAGTGGAGAATGCATGAAATTAAGAAAACGAATGGCTGTCACCGGGCGACCAACTCGAGGCCTGTAACAGCCCGGTAAATGTCTGTTCGCGTTTTACAAGTGGCTAGGGAGATCATAAATTTTGCATGCCGTTAGCCCGACGCGGCCGTATTCAAATGTACGGGAAGGTGAGACGGAAAATCGAAATAGAAAGAAAAAGGTTAACATTATAAGTCAAGGACGGTCCACTGAAATTTTTGCGCTGCTTCAACAAGGTGAATATGTTAATTCAACATAAATTTGTATAGTTTTTAAAGTTAAATAAAAATATTTCAGCGGACCATTTTTAACGCAAAATTTTG